GAGTATTTGAACTCAGGCCCTTGTGCTTGCATGCTTATTAATGAGGCTATCTTCCCAGCCCTAGGGAATGTTTTTTATAGAGCAAGAATACCACATTACTGTCCAGTCCACCCCACTTCAGGTGACCCTTGTAACAGTCCGTTAAAAGAGGAGCTCTGACAGCAGGGGCCTATGACATGTCAGTACTGCGAGGCTCTGCCGGCCACCCCTGAAATACTCCTGGGGTTCTCTTTCCTGTGACTCACTGGCTAACTATGACAGTATCACCCTCATGTCACTCTTGGCTGGTGAGCAGTGTTGGTGAGAAACACTGTTTCTTTGTTGACTCCTCATCAGTAAGTCCCATGAAATGGTGAAGATCTGGATCCAGGTGTTACCATCAAGTCCTCTTTACATGCAGTTACAAGGGTTGTAAGCAGGTGAAGCTCTGGACCAAAGCTCCTGCCTCAGATTTCAGAGTGTGCCGGAGAAACAGGAAGCACCTCTGCTCCCTTGGTGCCTGTCAACCCCCACCTCCCCTACAGTTTGTTACACTCTGCGCACAAGAAATGAAAGCCTTTGTGGCTATAACTTTGAATACATGAAGAAACTGTTTCACGGTTGAATCTTAGCCTCTTATGAATCCTACAGTTTTGATATGTATTTTATATATTTATTTTTGTATGTTTTGATAAATATTTTTCTTTGTTTACTCAAAGGCAACATACTGCTGAATGTTCTGATTCCACCCAATATGCCATGCACCCGAACAGGGAAAAACAATGTCCTCATCGTCTGTGTTCCCAACCCCCCACTTGATGAGAAGCAGCCCACCGTCCCTGTCACCATGCTGATTCGGGTGAAGACTAGCGAGGATGCGGATGAATTGCACAAGATTTTACTGCAGAAAAAGGACGCCTAAGCACTGAGGCTGACCAAGGAATGTTGCCACATTGCTGCTTCCCCCCTGCCCCCTAAACTTAGTCACATTCTTTCCTCTTCTTACTGTGACATTCTGAGAACTTCTAGGTAACTTGAAACTTTTGTGAGGAAGATTAAGGCCAATAAATCCTTTCGGTGTGTCGAAGCTCTTCTCCCTTCCTGAGAACTAAGCAAAATACATTGGAGTGAAAAGTTTGGGAAGATTTTTTTTAATGTTTATTCATTGAGTAAACTAACCTAAGTGATTCTTACTGGACTGCATCAGGGTATCGGTTAGCTCTCCAAAGTCTCCCTCAGACAGCTGTGGGCTCTGCTCTTCTGCCTGCCAAGGGGGATCTGTGGCGTTATCCCACAGCGCTCCAGAAGACACCCATCTGCTCCCCTCCTTTGGGCTTGTCTGACCCGTGGTAGCACTTCTGCCAAACACTACGCCACCACACTGTGACCGAGCTTGCCCTGTTTCCTTCTGAGCTGAACTGTGGGTACTGGGTGTCTGCTTGTCATCAGCCTGTTCTTTGCAGGTGCTGGCCTTTGACCTGGGGCTGTTTGATCCAGGAACTGCCTTTTCATGGAAAAGGACATGAGTGGCTCGTGGGGAGCTGGCGCTTTAGAGACTGGGTTTTGTAGTTTTTGCTCATGAGGTGCTCTTACTTGTTTACCTCCCTCAGTTAACATGGGAGGGGGCTGTCAGGAATAATGGATTTTAAAAGCACAAATTTGCTAATGTTTTTATATCGTTTATACCATAAACAAGCCTTTATTTTAAAAGAAAAAAGTGAAACCATGCTGAAAAAAAAAATGTGTGCTCATGGCTGTTTGTTCCCTGGTGAGCCCTGGCAGGCGCAGCCTGAATGAAGACCTCTTAGGAGCCATGTGCTCATGGGAAGCAAGAGTACAAGCATGGAAAACCGGTTGGGCCTATAGCTTCATACAGCAGCATGTTATTTGGCATCTGAAAAACCCATTTTTTACTTTTTTTAAGGATGAGGTGGTATTGAGTATGTCCATTTGGAAGAAAGCCGTGGTTCTGCACGGGCCATTCATGTCACTTCAGAGCTGTGAGGTTACTGATATTAGCATTCTCTGAAGACCAGACACTTGAGTTAAATGCAAGATTTGATGACAAGCTGGTCATGGTTCATGCCTGTAATCCCAGTGCTGGAAAAGCTGAGGCAGGAAGATTGCATGAGTTAACAACAGCCTGAGGTACATAGTAAAACACCATCTCCCCTCCTTCCCTCCACCAAAAAAGATTGAATTAGAGTTCCAGTTTTCATTCCTTATAAAACCATTGACCACTAGGACCAGATCTTATCTGAAGGCTCAGGGACTGTGCCCAGAAGTGCATACTCGAGTGCTCAGATAGTAACACACGTCTGACCTGGGCAAACAGTCACAAAAACTGGGTGGTGCACAGTTGCTTTCTTAAAACTAATGCCAGAGGTGGGGAAGGAACCTGGTTAACATTTTCATATGCTGTCTCAGTCTTACTATGTAGCCCGGCTAGCCTTGAACTCAGATCCACCTGCCTCCGCCTCCTGAGCCCTGTGCTAGTCAAGTAGTCTTAAGGCAGGATGGTAGGGTTTATCAATGGATGTCACAATGCTCTGGTGAGCATTTTGGCATGTATCTATAGACGTGTGCTTTTGCTTGTGCTCTGGACCTGAGGTGCTGTGCATCTATTTGCCTTTCAACATTGAGAATTGGTTTCTAGCAAGCAAATTGCTGCTTCTGTGATCACTGGCCCTGCCCTGTTCACATTGGGTTTGCCCAGCTTTCCAAAGATGAAATGAGGGAATGCATTTCAGAACAGTACCACGGAGCCACATGCCCATGGGGTTGGCCAGGGACAGACTCCTGTGCGCTTTCAGGAACTTCTCCATGGTGGCAGTGCTCTGTGAGCATCTGCCCATGCCTTGAATATTTACCAAATGAATAAAAGCAAAAAAGGTCATTACTGGATTGCCTTTTAAGCTCCCTAGCCAGTTTTAATTGTAAATTAGTGGGTGTGGTTTTCTCTTTCCTAACATTCCCAGCAAAGTTTGCTGCTAAGACTATCACTTTTGGAAGCAAGAATTACAGGGGAGATGTGGTGTGACCATAACTCAGTATGTCTTGTCTTTATCCTTTAGGAGCTGTCTCAGTGCTCTGCATTTAACACAGTGTGGAGTCACTGAAGTTTGTGAGTCACAGGAAGGCCTCTTGAGGGCTCTCTGTTCTCCCTCCACTGTGTTAGTAGCTGGTTCCAACCCATGGCTTAGACTTCATTTATGTTTTAATATGTTAGAACCTTGCCTGTTGTATGTTTAATGTGAACTGAGGTGTTTATCTCCAGTTTGAAAATCTAAAGCCGAGTCTTATACTTGCCTGAAGGAAGTGTGTGTTCTCTGTGGTCAGGGTGCATCAGACAGATGCTAAGCCTGGGCCTTCCCACACTGTAGCTCACGCTTTCACACATTCCCAGCAAGCAAAGCCTCAGCCCCTCGCTGGCCTCACACCGTACCGGCTGTGACTGTGTCCGGGACAAGTCTGACTGTTGGGCTGATTTTCTGTTTTACCATTTCAGTTCTAAATCCTATTTTTTACATGCTGTGTGCCAAAAAAATAATACCTGCTGTGGCGTAAAGGGGCAAGTCCACTTTGCTGTCAGGGTCCCCTTCCCCACCCCCACAGCCTTCTCTGTCTTTTGAAGGTTATGGAGTCTGTTCTGGCCAGACTGTTCACTCTGTTGTTACTATTTCTAAGGAGGAAAAGCAGCCCCTTGACGCTATAGAGTACCTACTCACACCAAGTGTCATTCTGGAAGTAGGACTTTTAAAGAAATGACCTGTTACTTGTAGGTGAAATGGGAGTTCCTCAGGGCATCTTCTGGCCCCATGCTCTATACACGGCCACTGTGTGCTTTCCAGAAGCAATCAGACTGAGAACTGTCCTTTAACAGATCTGTAAAGGGGTATAAGACTTCTTAGCAATCACACAGAATAATCTGCTTTTACCTTGAACAGGAAATTGTTTTCTAAAGCTAAAATACTTGAATTGTCAGGCAGTATAATCTCAGTGTGTGTTAGCTTTTGAATGAGCCTTTGAGGAAGTGTAACAATCCATGAAATGTGAATAAATGGGAAGTTAAAACCAGCATTTGACACTGTCTTGTTCCTGTGATATTCTTGGCAGATCCATGGGAAAAGAAGCACACAGAAGCAGTGTGCAGAAACATCTGTGAAGTAGGAGTTGACCAAGGGAAGGTCAACTAGCGACTCTGGGATGAGCCCCTTGCAGCCTGGCCTAGGGCTGCCTGTGTTTTATTACAGTAGGGGCAGTCAGTCCTCCAACCCAGGCAGACTAGAGTGGGGGAGGAGAAGTAAGTTACTCACGCTAAGTTCTGGTCCATTAAGTGATGCATTGGAGTTGTGTTCAGATTCTGAAGTTTCCTAAGGAACATTGCATTATCTTAATTATAAAGTGTTTCCAGGTTAGGAAAAAAAATAATGAAAGGCTTGTCCCCAGGGTTCTGAACTGGGTTTTGTGAATGACAGGTGCTTCCTAAACTGCCTGAGCCATTAATGAGTCTGGCTGATCCGGTGTGGGCTCCCACTGCCAGATGCTCTTACAAATTTTCTAGAACTGACAGCTTTTAGGGCCCCCATTCTAAGCCCACTGAACCAGAACCTCAGGTCAAGGCCTCAGTTTTGTTTGATAATAGTTCTGTACAGTCATACTTCCACTAGCCATTGTATGTGAACGGGTGACCTGGCACATGCCTGTCCTTGGTCGACCAACTCTGGCTGGCAAGCACCCTCCCTGCTCCTCCTAGGTATAGCCATGAAATAAATACCCTTTAGCTCAGCCTAGGAGGAGATGACAGTGCGGCCAGTATTCCCAGGAAACATGCTAGCCTCTGTACATGACTTTGTCTAACCTCATTTTCACTAAACATGAAGGGATGTATTGGATTTACCTTTCCTTTGAAAAGCCCAAGCCCAGGGTTTTGTGACAAGCTGGGTAATATGACTTGCTGAGGGACCAGACCCACATGGCCTTTCCAGTATGCCCATTGAATCACTCAGTGGTTTCTAGAATTGGCCTAGGTCTTTTGAGTAAAATTGTTTATTCAGAATATAATCAAGGTTCACCAGAAACAATGGTTATTTCAAACTGAGCAACCTAATTGCTTTATTAAAGTCAGATTCCAAAATGAAAGCCATCCACATAGAGGAGAATAGTTTTGATAGCCTGTTGGCTTACATGAGGCTGTAGGAGGCAAGTGAGTGACACTGTTAAGAACAGGAACCGTTCTTTTATCGCCCATTCCTGGAAGCAAGTTTTCCCTTCCCTAGGTTTTCCAGCGCTCTGTCACTTTAACAAGCATAAAATCCGATGTCTCCAATTGACATGGGTATATACAATGAGCTACAGGGATTGCGTTATTTTACATTACTCTCTTCTACAAACAATCTGGAAGGTTTTCCTTTCCAGGGAGCATTTTCTTCCAGGCCGACAGCAATGTATGAGTCAGAATAAAAGACCTGAGAGCAGAACTGCCTTCCCAAAGTAGCTGGGAAGCTGGAATGCCGGCCCTGCAGCCAGCCTCCAGGGCAGAGACTTTGGGCCACTTGAAAGAGCTAGCCAGGGTTTGACACGGATGGCAAAGAGGCATGGCTTACCTGCTAAGCTGCTGCCTCCTTCCCACCACCTTGTAGTTAAAGGTACCAGTTCAGAAAAAACACTCCTGGGATTTCTAGGGTAGTGACTGGTTCCTTATGGTGTCCTCTCAAGACCCTCTTTCTCTGCTCTTCCACTGCAGTTCTAACTCCAGTGTATACAGTATATTAGACCCTCTTTCTTGTGACATGAAGAAGTCATTTGGCATGTTTTAGAAACCCTATGCATGAAAGGTGGCTGTGATGTGTTCAACCTGTGATGGTTGCAGGCCCTGAAAAAGCCAGGCCAGCCAGAACCCCTGAGCCCACTCAGCAGCCCCATCACAGAGGTGCTGTGCGACAGGGAAGGTCAGATGCCTGCTGGGATCTTTCCTAACTCCCACTTAGTGCCCAACTTCGATTCCAGCCATCTTCCCACGACTGTGAAGGTTTTTAGGGGGTTCTCAGAAAAGCTTTGGGAGATTTCAGTCCAAAACACTGCCAGGGTGTATTTTCATGGGAGGACAGAACCAGCCCAAAAGGCATCATGTGATCAGCTTTGGAAACGCCCACACCTCTAGCCAGGATGGTCACTATCCCCCTCCTAGGGTCTCCACAGGCCAGCAGCCAGCAGGACAGCCCTCCCATAGGATGGCTTCTATCATCAGGTACCATTTCAGAATGGTATCTTGTGGCAAAACTTGCAACAAAGTCAAATTCATTCCTATCCTGAAACATAAATCATTAAAAGAAACAGGTGCAGATCTGGGGTACTTCGAAGAAAACTCATCTTAAATGTCTCTAAAATGCAAAGCAATGTCTCAAACATGAAATCATAAAGCAAAGTCAACAGCCACCACAAAGCCTGCCTTGAGTGGCTTTCTGTTGGATGCGGGTGTTTATGGGAAAGCCAATCACAATTATTTTTTTGTAGGTGTAATTCTCATACACTAATTTTGGAAGAAGATTGCTATTTGGACCTACAAAGTAAGGGGCTGAGGCAAAAGAAGTTAAGAAAGAGCTGAGGGATACAACCCAAATAAGAGCACAAAGCCCTGGGTTCCACCCCCCTACCCCCACCCTAGCACAGCATAAAACTGGGTATGGTTGGTGGAAGCCTGTAATCCCAGCACATGGAAGTGGAGGCAGGTTCATTAGTCATCTGTTACACAGTAAGTTTGATGGAAGCCTGGGCTACAACAGACTCTTGCCTCAAAAACAAACAGACCAAAAAAAAAAAAAAAAAAAAAAAAAAAACCCATTGACAGCTCATGGCCCAAAGTTACCTTGGAAAACTTAACACAAACTGTCAGCACACCATGGCTTCCTCCACCTGTGGGGATCTACCTGCTGCAGAACTCAGATCCCCACCCCAGCCACAAGCTGTCAAGTCACATAATGTGTGTGGTGTTCCGATAGTGGCCAGTGGCCACTTGTCTCAGGCTCAGAGAAAGGCCTGGAGGTTCATGTCAGTCTCTAATCAGTGAAGGCCCACTGGGTACCACCACTCCTCAGAAGGACAGGCAGCACTCTGGCTACCTCTCTGGAAGGGCCATTGCTGATGCCCCAAAAGGTGAGTTAGGTCTTTTCACCTGGCCTCCAGGCCCCAGGCCCATCCAGATGATGCATCACCTGCCATTCGAGGGTTAGAGACTTCTGTGAAGCATGTGAGCCCATGGCGCCTGCATGTTCGCATCCCTGAGAGCTCCTAGTCCTTTCGGGTGTTGTATTTACTCTTCAGGGTGACTATGTCCACAGGGACAGACCTACAGAGGTGAATGAGCCTGAACAGAGAGAAGCCATTGTGATGTCAAGATACTTGGATTTTGAAGTGAGAGATGACAGCCAACCTGAAAAATGGACAGGACCTAAATCAGAGCAAAACTTAATACATCCAGAGTTTGGGCCAAAAACTTAAAACCACTTATGATAATGTCAAAAATAAATATATTTATTGACTAGACCAACTACACAGGGGCTGGGATTTCTTTTAATGAAAATGCTTTTTTTTTTTTTTTTTTTTGAGACAGGGTCTCATTATGTAGCCCCTAGCTGTTCTGGAGCTCAGTCTGCAGACTAGGCTGGCCTCAAACTCACAGAGACCCACCTGCTTCTGCCTCCCAAGTGCTGGGATAAAAAGCATGTGCCACCACACCTGGCTTTTTTTTTTTTTTTTGCCTGTGTTTTAAATAATAAATCTTTGGTGGTGTGGATAGCTTGGGCTGCCAGTGTGGGCAGCCAGGATTCCAGTAAGATCCCAGGAGGCAATACAGACACTACCTGAAGAAACAGGGATACCTCCTACATCCTGGACACAAAGCAAACAACATTTTCCTCTTAGTGTCCTAAAGACTGACACCTAGGTTTCCTCAAAACAAACTGGACTTGAATTCCAGGTGCTATTTGTCACCCTGTGTTGTATGAGGGCAGGCATGCTACCAGAAACATTAAAGATGGCCTTAGAAGCCAGTCGACCCCAGGAGGATTCTGGGTACTTCTGTCACTTGTCACTTTGAGACAGGGTCTCACTACGTAGCCTAGGTTGGCCAGGAACTCTGTCCTACTTCAGCCTCAGGGCTGCACACATGTGCCACTGTGTCTGATATCAGCTACTTGAAAAGGTAAACATCACAATTCTAGTCCAGTGCCCAAGGGCATCAGAACATGTTTGGAACTCCAAAGTGCCCTTTGGAGAAAGGGGAATATGACTAAATATCTGTATACCAGGGGACAGCGTGTGGTTCAGACCATTGACTAGGGCTCAGATCAAGCTTGCCTCCTGCCACTCTTCCTCATGGTTCAATTTTGAGGTCACTCAGTCTCTCTGGGGTGCTTTCCTCCTCTACAAAGAGAATGATGGTACCTAAGAATTGGAAATTGCGCTCACAGCCATCAGTCTGTTCTGTGTGCCACACAGAGCCTAGTTCCAAGGTACAGACTGTACCTACAGCTTGGGAAGTGCTCGTACTCGGTTACCGCAGCTTAGCGGAGCCAGCCTTGCCCAAGCCCGGCCAAGAGAGCATGGCTGAGCTCTGGGGGAGGGACCCCCCAGAAAAGAGAAGTAATGGAATTGCTATGGGTCTAGACTGCCTCAGTCATCCACAGAAGATACACTTAGCTCTATTTCCCCTCCAAGATAATCGAGTCCAGAGTGTTCAGACCCCAGAATGGCCAGATCCTGAAGTGGCAGGTTCTGTGACCTCCCTAGAAACAACTGTGGGGACAGCATTCACACCTTGCAAAAGAAATGGCTATCCTAGACTGCAGGACCACATCCTAGATTAGAACAGAGACCCAGGCTCCAGCAGAATACCAGTGTCTAAGCTTATGCACTATTTGTCCCTTTGGAAGGAGTTATTTCAGAGAAGGTAGGAGAGCGAGCTTCCTCGCCACCTAACACCCACTCCTAAGACTCAACCCAAGCTATGCAGAATGACAGGTGAGCAAACCCTGACCCAGCCATGCACTTGAACCCTGGAGACTTCAGTGAGGTAGGTGGTATCAGCCCCATTTTACAGGTGGGCAAACTGAGGCAGAATGAAATGCAATAGCTCGCTTTTTAATAACAACATACAAAATCTAGAGAAAGCCCCAAAGTAGTCCCCACTCCCAGAGACCAAGGAATGGAGCCAGACAGAAGCCATGCCCCTGGGCCTGCTCTCCAGCCCAGAGAGCCTGAGCCCTACATACACTGCTGAGTTCTCCAGAATCTGGGGCACTAAACCCAGCAGCAACAGGAGGCCCAGCTTCCAGTTTATTCCAGGCGGGTGGAGGAGGCCTTAGCTAGAGCATATTGCCAGGGTGAGGCTTGGGCTGGTGACCCACACAGCCACTTGCACCCACCGAGAACAGCGCGGTCTCATGGGCAGCCCACTCTGGTCCTCTCTGCCTAAGAAGCCAGGCTGAAGACCAGATCAGCTTGCTGACCAAAGCACAGGACAGAGGCAACAGCACCATCCTCGCTCTGAGCTCCAGCCCCAGGGTGGTTCTGCCTACAACTTTCCTGGGAGGATTCCACCCTGGTCCCCATCAGATACCCCTCAGCAGAAATACCCTCCCACCTTCCTTCAGAACCAAACTCTGCGTCCCTCCAGCCGAGACTGACGCACAGGTCATCTCGGGGTCGGAGGTGTGTGTGTTGGCGGTGTTCTTTGGATGGAAGCAAAGGCCATTCTTGGGGATGGGGGCCTGTCTGCCCAGCTGGAGGCTAAGACCCATCCCGGAGCTGGGCACAGGGCGAGGTATTCCCAGCCGGCAAACAGCTCATGCTCTCTGACCCCCAGCTGGGACCCACTGCGACAAGTAGTAACTATGGGGAACAAGTTGGGACTGAACCGCGAGCTGAAGTTCGTCAGTACTGCATTACAGAACCTCCAACTGGCTTTGTGTAGGATGTGTGGACAGCGGCCTGGCACAGAGCCCCAGCAGGGGAACGGGAGCCGAGGTCAGGAGGTCTAAGAACATTCTGGAAGCTGGCAGCCCTTCACGCTCTCTATGACCTCTTGGTGTCTCTGGCCCTCTTTGGGAGCAGAAGGCTCTCCAGAGATAGGCCAAGGGGGCCAAGCGCGGGCACAGGGTGGGAGCAGAGCCAGCGAGGGAGGAGGACGAGGCACTTCAGTTTGGGCTGGTGTTCATGGAGTCGGCCCTGGCCCCAGGAGTCGAGCGGCCCTGCCTGGCTGTAGCTCCGGTGCTGGCTTGTCACAGAAGACCCCGGTGGCGGTGACAGGTAGGCACTTGGCAGCATTCCCAGGGCCAGGCAGGGCCGGGGCTCCGTGCAGGCCCCACGCACACTAGGTCATCAGGATGGGTTTCTGCCGTACTTCCAGGATGTCTAGGGTGACAGGAGGGAGCAAGCAGGGTGGGGACACTCTTGGGAGGGAGCCATAGCTGCCCCCACACACCCACCATTTCTGATCGGGCCTCATAGGTTGCAGAGGTCATCACCACCCTGCCCTCCCATGCTAGCAACAGATAAGCACAGAGAGAAAGGCCAAGAGGAACAAGACCCCCATAGAGAGAGACTCTAGAAGCAACATCCAAACGTGACCAAAGAGGGGCCAGTGAGGACAACAGGGACACATGTGGCGGGAAGCCACTGGCCATGGAAAGGACATCCCGCTGGAGCCCAAGCAGGGAGGCTCTGCAGGGCTCTGCCCCCACATACCTGTTAAGATCCGATGCAGTGGCAAGGTGACATAGGTCAAGTGTGCATAGAGAAGGAAGTTTCCATCAGCTCTATTCAGCTTCAGCCAGGACCCGACCAGGGACCGTCCTGTGCCGGACAGGGATCGAGACCGCAGGTTGGTAGCATTGTGCAGGTCGGCTGGAGAGGAGAAAGTCAGGTCAATGACCCGGTGTGGGAGCGTGGGGGAGAGGCAACAAGACACCAGCAACTCTAGACTGATGCCACCAATGTTCCCTACCAAGTCCCAAACACCCCAGAGCCCTGCTTCCAGGCCTTCACACCCTCCTGTCCACCTCTACCTGGGCCTGGGCCTGGAAAGCACTCAGGGTTCACCCCAATGAAGTCTCCCCTCCTCCATCCACTCAACACACACACACACAACTGGCTGGCATGGTACCAGCTCGTGCAAAGGATGATGAGGAATGTTGGATGTTCCTCCCAGAAACTCCCAACTCGTTTCTGAGGGTCACCCCTCTTCCCTGAACCTCACTTTCCACAGGACTGATGGAGTGGCCAGTTTGCCTACCAACCCCCAGCTTCTCTGGTCCAAGATTGAGGAGCCTAGTCCCACTGGCAGTGACGCTGACCCTGAGAAGGTTGTGTGCGCAGAGCAGATGAGTAGGTAGAACCAAGGGTTCCAGGGACCTCCGGGCAGACACCAGAAGGTCACTGGCAGGGCACAGGAAGGATCTGAGTCAGGGTGACTCATGGGAGACCAGGAGACAGAGAAACATTAAGGTTTACCCAGGACGGAAGGTTTCCTGAATGAGGAAAACTGGCCCAGGAAGCGGAAGAGGAAGAGCAGAGCCTCTGAACATGAGGTGGCTGGACAGCCTGAAAACAGGGCTCTTGGAGGCGGACCCCTGGGCCATCTATGCAGAGCTTCACCCCAGCCCTGGGGTCAGCACTCCACACCTGACTGCCTCTCTAAGTGCCACTGGGTTGATCAATGTGAGGACAGCCAACTGCATGGATGCCAGGGGGAGGGACCGCACAGGCCGGTGAACGCAAGCCAGAGCAGGGGCCGTTAGTCTACAGGAGCACCAGGGGAGGGACCAGTCACCTCCACCATCGTCCTCTCGGAAGAACTCCTCGCTGTCATTGGCCGAGTGTGACTTCTTCATCTCTGCGATGCGGTTCCGAGGCACCTTCCTCTTGAGGGACGGGGAGAAGAAGGCCGGCCGGTTGTTCCGCTCCGGAGTGGGCGGGGTGCTAAAGGAGGTCACCTGGGAACAAGGAGTGCAAGTCACAAGGGTAGCAGGAGCAGACCCTGCCGTGAGGCCCCAAAGCCACTCGGATCCTGCCTACAAAGATGGCCCGAGCAGGGGCTGTGGTCAGAGCTGCCGGCCTGAGGGCCAGCTGTCCTGGCTGGGCGGACGCTGGGCGCTGGAGGCCAGCCGCACACCCAGCAACTAGTCCTGCCTAAGGCGGGAGCAGGGCTACCACCAAAACTGACAAAGGGTCCCTCTTCCACATCTCAACATAGAAGAGGCGCAGCTCAAACGCCAGGTGATGGGCTGCTGCTGTGTGTGGGTTACACACAGCCACCTTGTACCAACCACGCCCCACCACAGCAGCTCACGATGCCCGTCTGACACATAAGCAGACAGGGCACACAAAGGGCAACCCTGACCTGCCTAAAGCCACGGAGGCCTATACCCCAGGTCACCCTTGGGCCCTTCCCTCTTGCGCCCAGCCCCTTTCACAAGTGTTTAGGCTAAGTAGTTCTCTGCCCGTCTCTTCTCCTCCCTTCCAAATACATTCAGTCCCAGCCACCAACATTCTCCTCACTCACTTAGGGGTGAGGTGGGCACAGACGGGCACAAGACATAGGTTCCCTGCCCTCAAGGAGCTCACAGTCTGCTGGGGGGACAGACTCAAGTGACAACCACAGACTGCATGCTGGTCGCTGAGACAGAGAAACGGAAGCGCAGGACATGGAAGCACAGTGGAAGGAGGGACAGACAGCCTGCGAAATCAGAGTAGGCTTCCTGGAGGAGGTTGCCGCTTGAGCTGGGTCTTGAAGGACGAGTAGGAGTTCGCCAGGTGAAGAAGGGGGGGAAGGGCGTTCCAGACATAGGGAACTTGGCCCATCCCCTCCCTCCTCCCCACGCAAACAAGAATCGGAGCAGCAGATGAGCTGGGACCGAGACTTCGGGGCCCCATCGGCCTCCTCGTCACAGCTCCGACATCCACCAAAGTCCCGGCGGCTGCTGGGCTCCAGACGGTCCTCCCTCAAGCCAGGGAAGTTTTTCAAAAGATAAAAAACAAATACCAGAAACCACAATAGACACAGTCTGCATTTCTTGTACACTGGTTACAAGTGACCCCGAGGACAAGAAGACAAGCAACAGTTGTGTACATGGGCAGTGGGCTTGGATCCTGGGTGACCTCAAGACCCCTCCCCCAGGGCTCTGCACCTCCCTGCTATGAAGGACATGGCTAGAGGCCATCTCCTCCCTCCTGGCCACTCTGACTTGGCGGAAGGGAAGACTTGAGGCGTGGGTGAGTTTAGTGACTCATAGTAGGCCCTCAGCAAACAGCACCCAGCGCTGTCCAGCCTGGGTCATATCTGCACACCTGTGCACACGCACTTTTCAGCATCAAAAGTGCGACACAGAACTGGGCAGGATCGGGCTGTCTGTCACCCGGGAGCTCAGAATCCAAGCTACCTTCAGTCCCAAAACAAGAGGGGCCCCCGCCTGAAGTGCCCAACACTTTACAAAAACCCAGCACTTCTTGGCTTCGTTCGGCTTATAAAACACACTAAGTGTAGATGATACCAAAAGAAAGAATAAGGCGGCACCCAGGCGCTGACGCAAGCAACAGCTGGTCAGGCACCATTTGCCCTGAGAGTCACTTCCTCTCAGCAGCAAAGAGGAACCACTTGATCCCTCTTGGCTGCTACCTGATTGGGACACCTCACATGGCTAAGCGTGAGAGGTGCCCCTGGTACCCCCACACCTCAGGAAGCAGGTCCACGCCCCACTTCTCAAAGAGAAACAGAAGCTTAGAGAGGAAGGAGACTTGTTCAAGGTCGCCTGAACAGCAGAGCCCAGGATGCAACCCGGGTCTCTCCAACAAGGGCTGACTGATTCACTCACTATAGTAGTCCCGAGCGCAGAGCCTTTCTCACACCTGAGCCAGGGGTCTCTACGTGGCCGTGGACCTCAGCTCTCCACTAGGGGCCGAGTGAGCTCAGAGGAAGCAAAGCCTGAGGTCCATGTTGAGCCCTCAGAGCCGTGGCAGGAGAAGAATCCCTCCACCTGCCCTCGGGGTGCTAACAGATGGAATACACTAAACAAATGAGCAGGCCCAGAGTGAGCTTTAAGCTTTACAGCTGTCCTTGTGGGACAACAGAGATGGGGAGAAGGGGGGTGGGCAGCTCTTCCTGGTCCCTATCTGGCTCACTATGGAAGCACTTATGTGCCACAGCTACCCAGCAGGTCTATGAAGATAGGCACCAGGCCTGGGTCCTATCTGGGTCAATTTCTTCTGTTCATGACCCCCAGGATCTGGCCTCAGAGCAGCAGCAGCAGCTCAGGAGAGCAGAATTAGCTGCGGCTTGGGTATAAACCTGCTGGTGACCTCAAGCCAGGCACCTCCCCATCTCTGAGCCTCAGCCTCCAAATCAGCAGTGGGGATCAGCCAGGTGAGAGCTCCCTCACCGGGGCTTTGGAGTGAGGGAGCCACAGGAAGTAAATCCAAGGGTCAGGAGGCCCCTCCCCCAGCCATGCAGCCCTTACCCGCTCATGCATGGGCGAAGCTGGGCTTGAGTCTTCTTCGGTCCCACAGGGGGAGGTGTCGCCAGTGGACACGCGGCTGACTGCCATCTCTGCATGTCCCTTGCCCTGAGGCCCCTTCATGCGCACAAACTCCATATTGTTGTACTTGTAGAAGCCAAATGACATCTTCTGGGCCATGCGAGCGGCCACACTCACCTATGGTAGGTGGGACATGGCCTCCGTCAGCACAGTGGGGCTGGCTTCACAGGCCCTCTCTCAGGACACAGCAGCCGGTATTACCATCTCTGAGGCCATCTTGAGGGAGTGTGAGCCACAGGGAACCCAGTGAGCCGGAAAAGTAGTCTAGTAGGGTATGTGGTCCAGATCCCTTGGCCAAGGCTGTTCTCATTGCCCTGACCACCCATAGTACTGGCCAGGACCTTAAGCTCAGGGCTGCTACTCCACCTCAGGGTGGACAGCACCAGCTGTAGGACAGTGGCCTGTGCTCCTTTTGCTGCTGATTGGTCAGGGGTGAGTTTGGGGAGTGCCACCAGTACTAGGCCACAGACAGCAAGGGGCTGGTGGCAAAGGAGAGCCAACATCCCACTGGCTGGCACCTCACCAGGGCCATGAGAGGAAGGAGGAAGTCCCCACCTGCACAGGTGGACTGGGATGAAAAAGAAAGAAAACATAAGGGAGAGTGAGGGCCCCCAGGAGTGGCCAGAGCAGCAGCAGGAGTCCTGATGTTGGGTGGTCTCAGCAAGGTAGGCCTGGGGTCGGGGGCACGTGTGGACAGACAAAGGGCCAGGACACACACAGCTAGGCAGCCCGCACTCACGCGGTTGTCATACACCTTCTTGAGCGCCTCGTAGCGGATGGAGCCCTGAAAGATGACACCCTGGAACGTGTTGGTTTTGTCACTGGCCACCAGCTCGACACAGACCATCTCTCCTTCCCCCACAGTCATGTCACTGAATACCTGAGGGCGGGGGCGAAGAGGCGGCAATGTCACACATGAGGGCCACCACCCAATCCATATCCTGACCTGGATGCTCCGAGGGCTACTGACATCACCGAGTACGGTGCAAACTGTAATCCCAGCACCAGAGAGACTGAGGCAGGAGGCCAGGTCAGCCTGGGGTAGACAAGGACAATGTGTCTCAAGACAGGGAGGTAGGGGAAGAGATGAGAATCGGGGAGGAGAAAGGAAGGAAGAGAAAGAACAAAGAGAGAGGGAGAAGCCATTTACAGGTGAGGACACTGAGAAGAGGCCAAACTGCCTGTCCACAGCCACCCACTGTCCACCACCCCACCTTCAGTCCTTGTCAAGGTAGGAACAGCCTCCTGGCAAGGCTGTGCAGCAGCAGGCAGCTGGGACTGGAGGAAGAGACCCTACCCCACACTGAGCCACTGGCAAGACCCTCATCTGGCTTCCTAATGCAGTTCAGGCTACAAGGACTATGGGGACACTTGGGGACCTCCTTCATTGCAGACCAGTCCAGCCTGCCCTGCCTGGGCTTGTCTGTCCAAGACTAATGTGGCGTATGTGACTGCCTTCCTGGGCTAACAGCACCTGGACGCAGTGTGGCCACATCCTGCCGCCTACCTAAGCTGCGGTCCCCATATCTGACATCAGATGCGAGCCTCCAGGTGAGAGGAGACTCAGGGGCAAAGACACGTGCAGTGTGAACCCAAAGGAGGTCGCGTCACCTTCCTGAGCCTCAGGTACTTTCTAGACACCATCCGAACCCTGCAGGGCCCTGAAAGCCATGCCTACATTCATGGCACTTTCAAGAATCTTGGCTGTCTCTAGGCAAGCACTAGGACCACCAACACACACACACACACACACACACACACACACACACACACACACCCGCCACATTCCACCATCAGCCTTGTCAGAGGAGCCAAACAGGAAGTCCTCCTGGCATCACTGGGTTAATGTGTCTGGAACACCTTTTCCCAATCTTGACTCCGTCCTCTCTGACACCCTGGGCAGGGTGGAGGCAGCCATTCACAGAGCAGCAAATGATGAGGCCTTCTGCTCAGGCAGCAAAGCATCCGTGACACACACTCCCGCTCACAAGTCCTTAGGTCACCAACCCAGACAGCTAAGTAGGCCACAGGGTCGTGACACTCGCTTTACAGAGGAGTAAACCTTACAGCAGGGAGAAGGCTCTTGCCTCAGTCATGCACTGTGAAGAGGGAAGCCCCACTGGCTGTCATCCAGAGTCTTCCTGCTCCTGCTGCCTAGGTCTCCTGGGAGGCTTTGAAGGTCCGCAGCCTGGCCCCCTCCAAGAGGAGAGGAAGGGGAGGGTGGCCGACGTTGAGTACTCACCTCCTCGAAGCTGTCAATCATGAAGAAGATGTTGGGGTAGCTCATCTTGGATTCCTCCCCTTTGCTGTCCATGGGGTGTTTGCTGGGGGAGGCAAACACTTGCTGAAAGAAGACAGATGGGAAAGGGCTGAGAAACCAGCCTGGGTGGAAGCCCAGAGTTGCTACAGATACGGGCCAGGGGCCCACGCTGCTCCACCAGTCCAAAGCCAAGGATGTGCTCCACAGGAGTCTTGGGGGGAGCTGGGTGCATGCATTGGACTGAGACCCTTAGAGTCATCCCTCACCTTGGGGGCGGGAAAGCAAGGAGATGTCTTCCCAGAACGGATGATGGCTAGCTAGAAGCTCTGGACAGCTAGCGGAAGGTAGGGGCTCACCTGGGATTTCTTCCTATGGATATGGATGTCGCCCCCGTCGGCACGCGTGCACACAGCGCAGGTGACCATGTAGTCCAGCTAGAAGAAAATGCAGTCAGTAGGTGGGGTGCCATCCCCCAGAGCCATGAGCAGCCCTCATCACCCACTCTGTACCTTCTGCAGGATGAGGTTCAGGCAAACGCTCTCTTCCCAGTCGATGTCAGGATCTCCCAGGCCCGGAAGCTTCTTGGAGTCCCTCCGGTACACTTCCACCTCCACTTCAGGCTCAGCCTCAGCCTGTGGCACAGGACACAGGGGACTCAGGGGACCCCTGGGGCTGTCCACTCCCTGGCTGCTGCACTGGGCAGGCGGCAACACACAAAGACCCCCATCCCTCGTACCCATCTCCTCTCCCTTTCAGCCCCAACTTTCTGGTCTGTGCAATAGAAAAAGCATTTTCCTCTCAAAGTTGTGATAATGAAGGCCTCGTATTCCTCAAGTTCCCAATCACAGTCCCATCGATCGGGCTCACAGTGGGCAGCAGAGGCCAGCCTACATGTTTTACAAACTATTAACCTTTTATCTGCAAGGAAGGCACCATTAATCCCACTGTAACTGATGAGGATCAAACAGGCCACACACTCATCAAAGAGACACCAGGGCCCCCATCTGCCCCTACTCCAGGCAGGAGAGGCATTAAGAAATCAGAAGCAAGCTTTTCAAGTAGCCTGTGGTGGTAGGGGTATTGAGCCCCAGGTCCTTGCGAGGCCCAAGAGTGCTCCTGCAGGCAAGAGACACCTCCTGCTGGGCAGGTCCAGTGCCACCTGAAGGGACACCGGCCTGTGTGCCCCAAGGCAGAGCTGGGATCCACCCAGAGGTGCCTCAGTGTAACAGGATATACCACAGGAGTGGGTTTCCTACCTCCCATTGTTTGTGTGGCTGTGGAAGTCACCCAAACTCTGAGTTGGGAGCCACCCTGCTGCCTGCCTCAGTCATTGCCTGGTCTCAGTCCATTGCTCTGCCTGGTTGCTCCGTGCTTAGCACTCATCTTGTTTACTTCCCTGCAGGAGAGCCCACAAAGGCAGGTGCTCAGTTGCTACTGGCTCAACTGGGGGGGTGAGGGTTACCTACAGAACACAGCACTCCCGTGGTGGACCAGCGGGAAAGTGGAACAGCTAGCTCCATGTGCCACCAGAAAGTGCAGGGAACTGCTCGGACCCCCACTCACAGGAGGCCAGGGAGGCGGTGTGTACCCTCAGAAATAGCACCCAGCAAGCAGACTGACAAATCAACAGGCACACTCCCAGATGAAGGACAGAGAAATGTGCTGCAGTTCTGCGTGTCAGCTCAGGACAGGGACAACCTACCTGAGCAGCAGAAGTCCAACTGAGGCCAGGGAGAGAGAGAGCAGCTGGAAGCCAAGGACCCTCGAGCTGGGTCTCTGGGCCTGAAGGCTGGTGACCCCAGAAGGCCATCAACCTGGACACCTTTGCATGTACATTACGGTCAAGAAAAGCTACCAGCTGGATTTGGTGGCACACACCTTTCATCCTAGGACTCAGGAGGCAGAGGCAGGGAGATCACTGTGAGTTTGAGACCAGCCTGGTCTACAGAGAGTTCCTGGGACCAGAGAAGGACCCTCACCGCTCCTCAGCTCTGGTTTTCTAAGTGGACTTGGGGTAATCTGTATCCTAGGGCTGCTGAGAGTGTCAACAGGAAATGACAAACAGATGCCAGTGCCTACACATTGCCAAGGACAAAATGGGCTGCTGAGAATAAGGACTGTTTTGTCCAGGGGTGGCCTGAGAGGATGGAACAGAGAATCCAGGGCACACTGGGAAAATCAGGTCTGGATCCTCAAGGTGATCCTGCAGCAGGGTGTGGGAACTCCAGCACTCCGTGCCCACCCACACTGCAGCTCTGGCTCTGCCCACCCACCCTTTTCGGCTAGGCAGGGGGCCTAGTTGGTTGCCATGACAACCAGTACCAGCAGGATGGGAATGGGTGGGAGGTGGTGCAGGGCTTGCCGCAGAATACTCCTAATGCGCAGGCGCTGGAGTCCACATCTCAGCAGCCCGGGGCTCTTGTTTCTTAGGGTTGGGGTTCCCAGATGTATCTCCAAGCCTGTCCCTTTCAGGCCATACTGTATAGACTGCTGGACTGGAAAAGGTGTCCTTGCCTGACCGTTGGCCTGACCCTCCAAGCCCTACACCAGATACCATGCAGTCAGCCCTCCTTGGAACCCATGCAGAGGTGCAGGAGGGCAGCCAAGCACAAACAGGATGTGGGGCGGGGGGAGACCAGGGGTCCCCACTTCCTAATGCCTGTGCAGCAAGTCTGTGGTTATTCTCAGCTTCACCCCACAGAAGCTTGGTGACTTTCCTTTCTCCCTGCGTGTATCAGGTGCTCTGCCTGGCACTGTGTCACAAACTATTACACACTGGGTCAACAGGGCCAGGCATCCCTCCAACATCTGCCCTACCAACCTGCACGCAGATGCCACCTCTTTTGCGGACCCCCACCACAGGATGCTGTCTGCCTGCCCACGGAGGGCTTCCCAAAGACAGCCTGAATCCTTTCTGGGTGATCTGTGCTGGGAAAAGAGCCATTTCCACGTGGTTCATTGTTACTCGCCAGCACTCCTGTTAGAGTCAGGCTGGCTCCACTGACTTCAATACCCACTAAATCTTCCAGAGTGTCTCAACACAGCCCCGGAAACTCTTCTGCTATAGACTTTTGCTATATATCTTGGACCTAGGGCTGTGTCTCCCAAGGAGTACTCTTGCCTTACTCTTGCTGTTGTTTTGTTGTTTTAAATATAGGTACTCTATCTGCATGTGCACCTGAAGGCCAGAAGAGGGCATCGGATCGCTTTATAGATGTTTGTGAGCCCCCATGTGGTTGCTGGGACTTGAACTCAGAACCTCTGGAAGAGCAGCCTGCTCTTAACCACTCAGCGATCTCACCAGCCCTCCTACTTTACTCTCTTCTACCCAAATGTCATCATCTACCTCTCCCACTTTCCTCTCCACCTGGCCACTCCACAGTATAGACAGGCCTGGCCCCACATCCAGATCTCTCTCAGGACTGCCATGCAGGGTCCACACTAAAGACAGTGCCTCACATGTGCCTATCCTTCTGGGCCTGACAGGCTAGAGTCTCTGAAGCCAGAGGTGGAGTCCACAGTCCTGCTGCTCCAAGGGCCTTCACCCTGAGGTAAGCCTTGGGTGAAAGCAGTGTCCATACCCAGGGTGTACAGGCACTGGTTCACCCGTACACAGAGGTTTTCTAGTCCCTGTCCCTTCCTGCCAAGGGCACATCTGGTCACATCAGCCCCAAACATCCCAGCCTCACATGTATCCAATGGGAGGCTCAGCCCTTACAGACTACCTGTTCCTAGTCCCCAAGATGTCCGGGTCCAGCCACAGCCATAATATTCATCAAGGGGAGAACACTGGACTGGAACAGCATAACAGACAGGAAGGGTTGCAGGCGTAGGACTGAGGAGCCCAGGGCTAGCCTCCCAACTGAGAAGGTTGCCGCCTCACTGGTGCCACTAGCAAGAGCTGCCAGATGGACCTACCAATCATGTCTCAGCTTTGGCTCTTCCACAGAGCATCTCCTGTCTACCCACCTGTCTGTCACTCCTGGGCCATAGTCCAGTCCGCAGCATCACTCACTTCTCCAGGTCTTACACTCCCCCTGGTCTCTTACACACTCTGGCCAGTGGTCCATGGGCTCCTGCTGGCCCCGCCAATATCAGCCAGGCAAGGAAGCCTTGAAATACCTCCTTTGCAGCAAGCACTCAGGTGTGGCCACTCATAGCAAATATATTCTCTGGAGGTGCAGGGGTGAGACAGGAAAGGGCTCCCAACATCATGTGTGTAAGCCATGACTGAGAAACCTCGGCGCCTGAGTCGTAGGACGCTTAGAGGCAGACAGACTCTAAGTCCCAGACAGGACTCACAGACTGACCACTATTTGTCCTTAAAGACAAAGTATTCCCATGTTTAACATGTGGGCTGCTTAAACACTCTATGAACCACTAAAAATTCTGAAAAAGAGAAGAGAGCATGTGTCTCAAGGACTCCACAGCACCACACTTAATGGGGTGACTCCCTTCACCTCTAAGCCCTGCCTGCTCACCTGTCTACCTGCCCAGTTCCTGGGAGTTCAGGAGACCAAGGAGATCCCAGAGTGATTCCCCTCGTTTATAGTAAGAGCTGAGTCAGAGAAGGAAGCATCACCATCACTTCCGTCCAGCCATGCCCTGCTCACTCTAGAGAGTGCCCTAGACTTGGGGCTTAAAGCCCCGTATCTCCATTCACTCACTCACTGTCAGAGGCTGTCACGTCAGCTGAACCCCAAGCCTCAGTTTCCTCAAAGCTACAATCACTGCCTTTCGGGGTCACAGCAAAAACCACTCAGCGAACCACAAGTAGGCCACCAGTGACCGTCTCCTGGGTTCCTCAAGCACGCTGGGCACTCAGCAGGAGGGAAGGAGACCCCATAGGGTGTTCAGGTGTGGTGGTGTGGGATTGGGGCACCCACCTTCCTCCCGTCGACGCTGCTCTCATTGCCTGGGTAGGCTCGCTTCCTGCGCACATAGAAGAGCATGTCATCCTGCCTGGGGGCCAGTTTCTCCATGAAGTAGGTGGAAAACATCCAGGTCCAGAAGACGATGCGGTCATCCTTGAAGCACCCTGCAGGAGGAGGCCAGAGGAGTGAGAAGGGACCCTCCTGGCCCTGGCTCTGACCTTGGCCAAGCCTGCTCCTCCCCATCTGCATTTCTGGCCAGAGATCTGACAAGGCTGGGGTGCTCTGCCCCTTCTCTCTTGGTGCCGCCCACCCCCACCCACAGGCATCAGAGAGGCTGGGGATGCCTCCCTGGAGGTCTGGGACTCCACCCAGCGGCAGCCCGAGAGCCTGAGAGCCCGAGAGCCCGCTCCCCACTGCCGAGCTGACTGCAGCCAGTGAATGAATCAGCGGCTTTTGAGGAGGGAGAAAATCTAGGAGCCTTGAGGACGTCACTGGCTGGCTGGCTGGCTGGCTGGCTGGCTGGCTAGGCTGCAAGGAGAAAGGCTTTGCCGGGGAAATCTTCACCGCAGACATCCCTAGCCCTCCCCCTCAGGCTGCGGCAATCCCAAGGAGAACCCGACTTAAAGGGACAGCAAGCCCATCTCGGCCACAGCGAGGGAAGCCCTGAGAGGATGCAGGATGGATTCCCATTTGATTACTTCAGACTTTGTTATTACAAATGGCATTTCTGTGTGATAAATAAAATGTGTAATAATTTCCTGTACATGAAAGAAGACGAAGAAGAAGAAGAAGAAGAAGAAGAAGAAGAAGAAGAAGAAGAAGA